TTAGTCTTCCCAACGTCTGCTTTCTTTTGTGCTCCTTTTATATCTCAAAAGTGATTGGTTTAAAACACACCATACGTCCTCATTAACATAACAAAGAGACCTTGTTCCCAAATGGGATTACATCCATAGGCATGTTGTTGGGTGCAGTCCACAGGTATAGGGGTTAGGATTTACAACACAGAGTTTGGGGGGGAGGGGAGCGGGGGATGACACAATTCAATCTCTAACAGTGTGCATGTGGGAGAAGATGGTGTCCAGAGGTGCTGGGTCTTAAGCTAGGCCCACAGGGAGCAGATGATACCTCAGTCTTGCAGAATGGGGAAGTAAGTTGAGAAACAGAAGCCAAAGCCCTGGAGCCAGAGTGCAGACCAGGTGGGTGGAGGGGACAACCCACCAGGTTCTGGAGGGCACTCTGACAAAGCAGCGGGCTAGGCCATGTCCCAGGGTCAGTTCTGGGCCCTATCTGCAGGAGAAGGATACAAAGAGGCCAGGTAACAGAAATCCAAGGGCATTACACCTCTGCTCCATGCATATGCTCTGAAAGACCCCAAACCCAAAAGGAGGGAGGGAACTGGCCAGAGTGGAGCTGCTAGGGTTCCCAGACCAAGGTTGGAACACTGCTCCCACAGGAAGGGGGAAGTGAACTGCTGTTAAAGTCCTCTTGACTATTTTGAGATCTGTAGCTTGTGGGGTCAGGACCTATTTACACTTCCTATAAATTCTTTCCTGCTTTTTAAATTGTGATTAGGAGCATCCAGCAATTGCAGGAAAATATAAGATTAATTCCCTTTATCTACATATTGTTCTTCGGTGCCATAAAGTCAATTTTGATTCATAGCAACCACATGTGACGACAGAGCAGAACTGTTCCATAGGATTTTCTAGGTGGTAAACTTTATGGGAGCAGATTTCCAGGACTTTCTTCATATAGTTGAACTGGACTGCCAACTTTTCTGTTAGCAGCCAAGTACTTAACTGCTGCACCACCAGGGCTCCTAATTTCTACCAAACTGGGCCAGGGTGAAATATCTATTAAATTTCATAATGATATTTGCATTTCCTGCAAATTTTCCACGTGGCCATCAGGAATGAGACCAAACATCCAACCGCATTTGCTTTTTTGGTTACTGCTTCCTCATTCTCCATTCACTTTGGTGTCTTGAGAGAAGTGAGAACATGCACTTTTTCAAAAAGATCTCAACCCATTAGGTGCTCATTTAAAAATCTTATCATTCCCAGGTCTCTCAAATATGAAACATTCTATGCTTATCTCATTCCTCATCTCTTCTTAGATATGAGATCAGCATACCCCGTCAAGCACACTGATGGACAGAGGACAAACATACCCCGAAGCTCCTCTTATTCTTTCGCCACAGGGCACAACCAAAAGAGCCGAGACTTACACGAGCTTATGGATTGAATTGTGTCCCTCAAGGTTTTAAATTGAAGTTCTAATGTCTAATACCTGTGAACATGACCTTGTTTGGAAATAGGGTCTTTGAAGATATTATCAGTTAACATGAGGTCATGCTGGATTAAGGTAGGTCCTAACCCAATGAGTGATGTCCTTATAAAAGAGAGACAGATGGAAGACAGCTATGTGATGACAGTGATGCTGCAGTCACAAGCCAAGGAACGCCTGGGGCTACCAGAAGCTGAGACACAAGAAAGGATCTTCCCCTAAAGCTGCTGACAGAACATGGCCCTGGATCCCCTGTATTTAGACTTCTAGCCTCCACAACTGTGAGAGAAAACTTCTGTTCTTAGAAGCCAACTAGTTTATGGCCCTTCGTTATAGCAGCCGTAGCCAACATACTCATTGTGGCAGACGGTCCTCAACAGTTTTCACCTTGTAATTAATTTCACCCTGTTAGGAGCCAGAGGTCAGGATAGGAGTCAACTCTCAACGCAGTTGGCATTGCTAGCGTCTTGTACAACTACATTCCACCCTAACAAGGAAAACAGAGGCACAAGGCCACTGTCATTATAATAGGGAGGAAAGGAGGAGAAAAGGGGTATACATGAGGGCAGCATGTGAGACAGCAAAGAGTTACGGGTGAGGGCGAGGCAGAGGCTTCTGGCACCCAGGATTCCATGCCCCACAGCAGTTGCTGCCTAGCTGTAGTCCAGTTCTCTGGGAGAGGCCTCCATGCTCTGAGCCCCATAGCTGGAAATGCCACAGGAGGCGTGGGCTTGCAAAACCTCTCTCCTCTCACAACAAACGGGTGTGTGTGTGTCACTCTGGCTTCTTCCAAAGACCAGAGACACCCTTTTTACAAAGGCATTTTATTTTAGTAAACATAAAGCATATAAAATTCGTATTATTTTAAGTTAAAGGTTGGGAGTTTGTCTTCTGACACATCATTCAATAATTAAGTCTTCTTTCTTCTCAGCTGGAGTCCACCAAAGCTGACACTGAAACTGCAAAATCTAGATAGGAGGACCAAAGGGAACATAAGTAAGATATATTTGATAAGGTATTTTACTTGCACAACATGAACCCTTATGTTAGCCATTTAGGCTTAACAGAGAGGAAGCAATGAAGTGTTATCTGTTAATGAATATGTATTTTTAGCATCAAAATTTTCCTTCCATCTGAAAATCTTTTGTTTAAAATGGTACTCTAGCCTTGACTAAGCTGCCAGCCTGTGAGGGAACGTGAATTGACCCTCAGTCAGTCCTAAGTAACGTGAATACTTTTAGTCAGTCCTAAGTCTGGCTCGTGTGAGCCCCGACCCCTTACTTCAGCAACATATCTCTGAACATGTCTGTGGGAGGGATGAAGCCTTTATGATCTCATCTTTTCCTCCTCTTCTCAGTTTAAGACACAAAATGATATCTGTCTGAGATATAAGTTCATCCACATTTCAACTAAATTACCTTCTCTGGCCCTTTTTAATTCTGAAGGGCTTTCTTTTCCCCTGATGCTAGTGACTACAGAGTTTCATTCAATATAACATCTTTAAAGAAAAAAAAAAAAAAAAGAGGCAAGGCTACATATAGTCATGTCTTTTATCCAGCAAGAGCATCTAGCTCCCCAAGGGCCAGTGAGTGGTGGGCAGATGATGGAGGACATCATTCTCCATCTGGGGTGTGCACCAGAGCTAGAGTGCTTCTTGCAAGCTCACATCCCATGTGTGTAGAAGGGCCATACAGCATGATGTTTAGGTGCAGTGGTTGTATGTGTTTGACTTGGACTCAGGTTCTGTTCTTCATTATGTACAGTGTAAACCATTTTTCTGTAGAATATATGCACCTTATATAGTTGCTGCAAGGATTAAATAACACACTTGTCTCCAAAATGCTTCCAAAACCAAACCAAACTCACTGCCATCGAGTCGATTCCAACTCATAGTGACCCCCATTGTGTTCCCAAGGCAATAAATCTTTACGGAAGTATAAAGCCCAATCTTCCTTCCACAGAGTGGCTGGTAGGTTTGAACTGCTAACCTTCTGATTAGCAGTCAAATGCCTTAGGCACTATGCCACCACAGAAGAACCATTCATTAAGTGTGATACCGCCTTGGAAACCCAAGGAGGGGTCACTGTGAGGTGGATCTGACTCAACAGCAGTGAGTTTGGTTTTTGGTTTTTTCAAATTTTTATTACTAAGTATGCCTTTAACCTGATAGGTTTAAAAATACAACTTGCTGCCATCGAGTAGATTCTGAGTCATAGTGACCCTATAGGACTGAGTAGAACTACCCCACTACATCTTTCTCCTGTGGAGTGGCTGGTGGGTTTGAATCGCTGACCTTTCAGTTAGCGGCCAAGTACTCAACCATGGCACCACCAGGTCTCCTTAAAAGTACAATAAGGGAATTTATATTGAAGAAGCATAGAACCTCAGAGTGGAAAGGGGTTTTGGAGGTCACCCAGCCCAGTAGATTTTTAAAAGAACCAATGCTCAGACCCAACCATAGACATAAGAGATTATCCCTGAGCTTGGAGCCTGGGAATCTGTGTCTTTAACAAATACCCCAGGCAATTGTGATCATCAGTCAAGATTGAGAACCAATGATATAGAATTCTCTGCCACCATATTTGCATCTCCTAATTTGTAAAAAAGGATAGAACTCTAAGAAATTGGATGAGTGCCTATACCAGTAATAAGGAGATGGCTCACTGTCACATGTTAAATCTGTAACAGGGGCTTCATAATAACTTTCTGATGCTCTGATGTGTTGAACGCAACATTTTTCTGGGAAGACTCTGTGTGCACTCTGATGATGAGTAAGCCCTCATTCCTGTAAGGGGTTCATGCAGAAAGTCTTACAGGCAAGGGGACTCACAAACAAAGGCCAATGAACATGAAAATCTACCATAGTCAAGGAATGGCCTACAGGAGGAGCATGGAGAGTTGGCAGAAGAGGTGGCAAATGTGATTTGGGTTAGGATTGACTGGGAAGGAATTTATATGCCACACCAAAGAACTGTACTTTACCTTGAAGATAATAGGGTTTCTTAATCTTGGGGAGCATCTAGCTCCCCAAGGGCCAGTGATGGTGGGCAGACCAAAGAACTGTACCACACCTTCAAATTACCTGTGACTCTCCATTCCCTCCTAAAATTCTATGCACAGTTGTACATATTTCTAGTATGTGCTTCTCTGGGGAGAAGGTCCACAGCTTTCATTAGATTCTCAAAGAGTCCTGTCTCAATCTTGTTAAGAACCATGGCTACCGATCATGGAGAACCACAGGCTTTGGAGCAGAGGAGTAGACTAATCAGGTGTGTGCTTTGGAAATGGCATTTTAGAGGAGGGGAGTAGGTGAGGCTACAGACAGGGAGACAGAAAGGAGGCCCATCAACAGACGGGCACAAGGATCAGGATGTGCACACCTTACCCTTAAACAAAGCAATTTTAAGTGCCTCCTCTCAGCCCTTCAGATCCCAGGAATTTGGAATTCTCTGAACAATCACACCCGCTGACTGGTCTGCCCCAACCCCCTGTCTATTAAACATTTGCAAAGCCACACACAATACCTTTGATTTCCCCTTTAGTTATCTTTCTTCTCTGACTGCTTTTTCTTTTCGGCCTCCAGTCTTTGTAGTTTTGCTTCCAGTCTTTTCCTTTGGTACATTTTGACTCCAGCAAATGCCAGGCAAAGGATTAATGTTTTTGCTGCCAAGATATACAGCAGCAGGGGCACATGATCAAGAACCTTAATGAAGAAAAACAACATTCTAAATGTTCTATAGGCGATATGGAATGTTTCTTTGTTCAGCTCATGTTTACTGAGCACCTATTATATAAGAAGCTCTCAGCGAGGTACTAGGGCTACACTTCTGATAAAGAAGACAGACAAGGTCTCTGTCCCATGAAGATGTCTAGATTCAGCTCAGCTCTTCTCTCCAGCTACCGGCTTCACAGAGGGGGCAACAGGTCCATTACAGACATTATAACTCTGGTCTTTCAGAATTTCACCACTCAATTTGCTCAACACCTAGGCCTCTGCTTCCAAGGCAGCTGTTGTTGTTGTTGTTGTTATGTGCTGTCAAGTCGGCCCTGACTCATAGTGACCCCTCTTTGGGTTTCCAAGGCATATCACTACGGAAGTAGATTGCCCCATCTTCCTTCCGAGGAGTGGCTGGTGGGTTTGAACCTCCAGACTTCTGGTTACCAGTCAAGTGCCTTAGGCACACTACCAGAGCTCCAAGGCAGCAGTGTGGTTCAATGACAGGAATCAGGAGGCAGGAAAAAGTTTCCATTGAGCTGATTCTGACTCATAGCAACTCCATTCTATCAAAGGAGAACTGTACTACATAGGGTTTTCAATGGCTGATTTCTTTAGCTGTAGATCACCAGGTGCCTCTGGGTAAACTCTAACCTTCAACCTTGTGGTTAGCAGGAGGCCTGGGTTGTAGCCTTGGATATGCTACTGACTGACTGTGTGACTTGGGTCAGTCACATGACCCTTCTGAGCTTCTGTTCTTTACCTGCAAGGCAAGGCTGGACCAGACTTTCCTCCTGGATTCTCTCCAGCTTTAGTATACTATGATTTCCTCTTGGTTCCAGCTACTTATTAGCCCTGGTGCTTGAAGGTAAAATAAATACATAAGTAAAATATAATAAATGTCAAAACATTGAAACTTAGCTACTTATTGACTACTCCTATGATATCCTGGTGGAAAGAAATTTTAACCCATCAGTGAAAACAAAGTCTGAGGATTAACTACTGCATTTCAATTACTCACACTTTGCACCAGTACATTTTACTATGAAATTCTATGTATCATGGTAGCATCTCAAGGTAAACACTGTTATTAGTTTCATAAATGTCATTAGTATGACCTAAATGATAATTATAAGCCTTTTTTGTCATTTAAAAATCCGTTCACAAATACAAATGAAATGGTGTGCTTATGTTGAGTGATCATTATTTTAAAGGACTAGGTATGATTTACCCCAATGAAATTGTAAGTGAAATTGTAAGACATAAATCATTACATGTAATTACCAATACTCTACTATAGGGAGAGTGGTAGTTAAGGTTATATGTGTCAACTTGGCTGGGCCTGGTTTTGAGTGGCTGGGCAGCTGGATGTAGTTTTTCCCCATGAGCTTGGCACTTTGAACTCAGATTCTAGCTCCAAAAATGTAAGAGAATAAACTCCTATTTGGTAAAGTCATCCATTTGTAGTATTTCTGTTACAGCAGCACTACAGGACCAAAATAGAACTTGGTACCAGGAGTAAAGTGCTGCTCTGACAGATACCTAAAATATGGAAACAGGAGTGGAGTGCGTCCTTGATTCAAGATACCAGCAGAGAGACCCACCATGAGAGACAGCAGCAGCTAAGAGATTGGCATGAAAGATGGCAGCAGCAGAGCCAAGAGACTGGCATAAGATAGTGACAGCCTTACTAGCCCATGGAGTGAGAAAGCTGAGTGTCTTTTTGGCAGGAAGATTCCTGGTGGAATGGGTTGCCTTTGGGTATTAATTGGGAGAAGCTGAGAGATCAAGGAAAGGGGAAGCAGAGCTGCCTCAGCCTCAAAGGGTAGGACCACGGGCTCTGAGGGTAGAACCACCATACCCTCCTAGGTTTCAAAGAGTCAGATCTTCACCAACTTGGTTCTGGAGTGTGGGGCTGCTGTTCATGAGGGCCAGTAGGATGGGGCCATAGATGCTGTCCAAAAGTGAGGAGGCAGGGATGCCCTGCCCAAGGGACAGAGGAACAGGGCCTGCCAGGCCAAGAGGGTAAGGTTGCCACTCAGATGGACGAGGAGACCTAGGCCACCCAATGAAGGAGATCTGCATAGATGCCAAGTTGACAAGGAGTGGAACTGTGGTAGTTAAGGTTGTGTGTCAGCTCGGCTGGGCCTGATTTAGAGTGGCTGGGCTGCTGGATGTAGTTATTCCCCATGATGAGACTGGCAATCAGCTCCATGGTGGAATCTGCTGGATCAGCTGAGTAGCTGCTTTAGGAATGTGGTCTGCTTCCAGTATATAAGTAGCAGCATTGAAAAAGGTCTTTAGCCTCCGGCATGCTTGAATCATGCACATAGCCAACTCATCATTTAGAAGCCTGCCATGTTGTCTGCCAATCTTGGGACTGTCAATGGACTTGAATTAGTGGCCTGCTGTGTGGTTTGATAATTTTGGGACTGTGCCATTTTACTTGTCAACTTTGGATTCATCAGCCTCAGCAATAAACAGCTGCCTGAGTGAAGAGACGCCTCCAGCTCCAGTGGGCCAGAAGAAAGAGGCAGAGCTGAAGTCCAAGGGCCTGGCACTTTGAACTCAGACTACTAGCCTCCAAAAGTGTAAGAGAATAAACTCTTGTTTGTTAAAACCATCCCATTTGTAGTATTTCTGTTAGAGTGGCACTAGAGAACTAAAACAGGGAATAAATGTGTACCTCCCTACAAGCTGATCTGAGATTGGTTAGTGAGAACTGAGAACAAGACTCATGGAACTAAAGTGCTAGAAGATTGCTTAGTCTATTACCTTATTTTACAGACAAAGAAAGTAAAGTCCATGGAGGTGGAGACACCAACAGCCAATTCATGAAGAGGCCTGAACTGGAATGGAACATTCTAACTCCTAGGTCACTTCTCTTTCTACTGATTCCTAATTTTCAATGAAATGGAATTAATGAAATCACAATTTATGTAGCTATGTTTCTATAATTTTATTCAAAGTCTTTAACTCAGATCTTGGTGTAGATTTCACTTTTAGAAAAGAGCAGCAAGCAGCATTTATTGGAAACTTACTGTGTGCTAACTGCCTTATGTAGATCATTCCCTTTAATCCTCATGATATCCCCATGAGGCAGATAGAACGTCCTGATTTCACAGCTGAGAAAACATAAAGTTCAGAAAGGGTAGTAATTGGTTATACAAGATCTGAGTCAGCCAAATGCTCTGAACCCCGAACTTTTCATCATTATACTATATATTGCTATACATATGTTGCTCCCTCCAACCCTGTCACCTTTTCAATTATGTAAATAAAAGGTGACTTGGACATTGAATTTACCAAAGGCAACTGGGATCACTACCTCTAAAATTACTCAATGGGTTACTTAGATATTTGAGGAAGGTTTTAATGTGATACAATAGAATATAATAGATACAGGGAGAGGGGACCCAAATATTTAAATTGTTTTAACTAAAATGGAGCCCTGGTGGTACAGTGGTTAAAGCATTCAGCTGCTAACCAAAAGGTCAGTGGTTTGAACATATCAGCTGCTCCATGGGAGAAAGATGAGGCAGTTTGCTTCCATAAAGATTTACAGCCTTGGAAACACTATGGGGCAATTCTACTCTGTGCATAGACTAGATGGCAGTGGGGAGGTTCTTGAAAGTTTTCGGTTTTTAGAGAGGTGAAAGCCTGATTCCATGTATTCAAACCAACTAAGGAAGAATGTATTATGTCTTTATATCTTACTTGCTTGAAGGTAAAAATCAGCAGTTTGGAGATACAGACCTCTTTTCATGTTTGCTAATATCTCCTATCGGAAGGAAGGTTGGGCAATCCTACTTCCGTAGTGATACTGCCTCGGAAACCCAAGGAGGGGTCGCTATGAGTCGGGGCCGACTCGACTGCAAATAACAACAACAACAACATCTCCTAGGCTAGCTGATAAGCCTGATGCATATTGGAAAAAGTAAGTTTTCCAAGACTTATTACAAGATATGGTTCCCTGTTACTGAAATCTGAGACTTAGCTTTAAAAATAAAAGGAATGGATTATCTCAGCCAGAAGTTAGAAAACCCATTGAAACAGAAACATATCAACAGACAGACACAGGTAAATGGTTTCAGTATTTGCTTTCTTTTTAAAGGTAGTGGAGAGGAGGAGGCAAGAGGTAGAAGTTGCAAGACTGAGGAGGGAGGCAGAGCAACAGCAGAAGTCAAGGACACTAAAAGGGTTAAACCAAGAATTTCAGGGCCCCTTTTCCTACTCTTTCCTCGGTACTAAGCTTCAGATACATTACATCTCTCCTTTGATTTCAGTCTAACAAACCCCTTAACCAAACCAAAAAAGCAAATCCACTGCCATCGAGTTGATTCTGACTCATAGTGACGCTATAGGGCAGAGTAGAACTGCCCCAGAGGGTTTCCAAGGGTGCTAATGTTTATGGAAGCAGACTGCCTCATTTTTCTCCCACAAACTGGTTGGTGGATTCAAACCACTGACCTTTTGGTTAGCAGCTGAATTGCCACCAAAGCTCCTTACCCCTTAACCAGTTACTGCCAATTCTGACTCACGGAGACCCGATGTGTCAGAGTAGAACTCTACATCATAGAACTTTCAATGGCTGATTTTTTGGAATTAGATCACCAGGCCTTTCTCCCAAGGCACCCCTGGGTGGACTTGAACCTCTAACCTTTCGGTTAGCAGTCAAGCACATCACTAATTGTACCATCCAGGAACTTCTTACATTGCTCAAAACATGCAAATTTTTAGGAAGGTAAATTAGTAAATAATTGTTGGGTGGACTAGATCTACACTTTTTTTCTCCTAAACCAAAACCCCAACAGCTGTGTAATGAGGATGGTTCACTTCTGAAATCATGAGGCCACACTCTTTGCTCATGTACAGACAGTGGTATGACCTTTTCTGACAGCTGCACACCACTGTGTCAGGGAGGGAAGGCCACACGATGGACTGGGCCATGCAATTCTCTCAGCCTAAAGGGCTCTCTGGTAGCGTAG